GGGAATAGGAGATCCCACCTTTTCCTTTTATCTACTGATATCAGAAAAGCACAGCATGTCTGCAGGTGTGGAGCCATGCAAGTGTTCGGCATAACCTAGGAAACACTCTTGCAAAACAAAGGGAATCTGAATTTGACCAGGTTTCATACACATTCCTTACATGGGGAATATAGGGAGAAAAGAAGCAAGTTAAACAAGCAAATAAAACAGTCCAGGATGGAGAAAGTTTTTACAAAAAGGATAGTATACAAAAGGTATGTGTGGGGCTTGGCCTGGTGGGTTAGGGAAGGAGACCACACTTCCTATTTAAACAAAGTAAGACTTAAAATTAAACACAGGCCGGGGACTTAGCTCAGTGGTGTGGCAGCCTGCCTTGCAAGCACAAGGTCTGAGTTCATCCCCCATACAAAAAAAAAAAAAAAATAAAAAAAAAAGCAAGAAACATTAGAATTCACCCCACAAAAAAAAAAAAAAAAAAAAATTAAATATAACGTGTGGCTCTTGTTTAGATTCTGAGCTGAAAAAGGTATTTTTAAGACAATTGTGGAAATTTAACATGAACTTCCTATTCTAGATAATACCAGAGATATTGATAATTCTTAAAACCTTGACAATAGTGTTACAATTACACAAGAAAATGTTCGTTTTTAGAGATGACTACTAAATTAAAGCATTTCTTTCAAACAGTGAAAACATCAACAATAATACACTATAGCAGACGCATTTGAGATCCGAATAATTTCTCCTCTGATCTCACTTTCTTACTTCCCTTACCAAGAGTATTTACTGCCTGAATCCATTATTTAATATTTCTGCCCATATGTGTTTCCATTAGTTTATGTGCATGCATCCGTAAGTGCTGCAGAGTATGTTTTCCTATTGCGAAGTCTTCCGTAAGTGGCTGGTATAGTTGTCTGTGGACAGCTTGTGTGATGATAGGATGCTACCTTCCCCATCTGATATGCTCTGATATAGGTTTAATGGCTTCAGTTCTTGTGCTTTATAAGAATACTCCCCAATTTCTTCATCGATCCTACTCTTGGCTGTTACTTGGGCCACTTTCAGTCTGCCACTTCGCTAGCAGTGCTGCCCCAGACGTTCTCTATGTGTCTTTGTGTACATTTGCTAGAACACTCCTGAAAGTAGATTTTTTGGCCTTGAAAGTTATGTGCATTTTCACCTTGAACAGAAACTAGTAAGCTGTCATTGGAGGTGTTGAAGTTTATGTGCATATGAAAGTATTCATGCCTACTGCTTGGACAAGGGACCAACAGGAGTGGATGGGCAGCTTTAAATCGTGTTTCTTGAAGGTTTTTGTTACTTGGAGAATTGAGCTTTCACATACTATTCTCCAAACCCAGGCACATTAAGAGCAAGACAAACTTAGGAAACATATACGAAGAAAGCCTGCACAAGTCCCAAATCTTTTGAGTTAAGGCATCAACATCTGGTAGAATCATTTAATCCCAATCCCCTTATAGTTCCTGAGTTTTACCACAAAATCCAGAAAGAAATCAGAATTTAAATAACCAGAATTAGGGAAAGAAACACTGGGAATCTCCTAAGGGAGACTACAGGTCATGGAAGAATAAAGGCGCCTAATGTCGTGTGCCAAGAGAGGCCCCGCTCTGCAGCCTGAGGCTCTTGGAAGTCTGTGGTCACAGCTGTAGAAGTGAGGTGGTGGGGTGAAAGCCGGGGTTCCCCGCAAATGCAGCCCGGTCGGGGGCAGTTGTAACCAGCACGTTCATGTCCGGGATTAATCATCAGATCCCAGACAAGCACTGACTCACTTTGTAGAACCACAAAGGAAGCAATGACAAGTACATAGATTTTTGTAATTATTTTGAGAAAAATCTTAGCAAAGGTTTTACAGGTACATTAAAAGAATAATGAAAAATCTGCAGCTGAAATGAAGAAACAAAGCATTATCACCATGGTTGAAGCACTCATGGTGTTTTTACCTTGAATTTCATAATTCTCATATATGTCATTCAATTTAACTTACAGGTGTGTGCTCCCAAGGCATACAAAATAGGTGCAGTGCTTACAATTTATAAGATGACTTCCTACTGCCTGAATTATTCTACAACCTGTTTCCCCCTGAGCATTATGTTTTTCAGAATCATGGAGGAATGTAGCTTTAATTTATTCATTTTGACAATTGTATGGAATTCTACTGGCTAAATACTGCAGTTTACTGTGCATTTACAGAAGGGGTGTTTAGATCACCCAGATTTTGCTCAGAAGATGCCATGCATGTTTCCCATGCATATGCACTGATATTTCTCTAATGTGCTGCCTACAAGTAGACTTTCTGCTTAGTAGGCTTTAGGCTCTTCAGCTTTGCCAGTTGCTCCTCACAATTTTTGTCTGACTCTGCACCCATCAAAGCATCTGACCATGAATGCTCTGTATCTTAGGTATCATTTAGTGGCACTGTATTCATTTACTAGATGTGCAGTGTTTTGTAAATGTCTTTACTTTATACTTCCTAAGTATCAGCCGTCGTTTACACCACGGCTTCTCCAGATCACTTGCTCTTGTGTTGCCCACTGTCTCCCCTACCTGTGAGCCTGTGTACGAAGTGCGTGCTGGTGTGTCATCTGTAACAACTCCTTACAAAAGCGGGGAAACATAGGCAAATGATAGCCCCCAAACTGTTTCAATTCCTCCCAAGGCCAAGGCAACCTATGAAATAACCCCATTTTCTGCTCTCCCTCCCCTCCTTAGAGGAAGAACAAAAGGCATTTTCAAACAGGTTTGGACACAGCCTGCATTTGTCAAAGTTCCAACTCTTTTCTGATCTCTGTAATAAGAACTAGGGAGTGAAATTGCCAGAGCTTGGACATTTGAGATTTGAACAGTTTTACTGATGCATAATTGGCACACAATAAATTCATATTCACAGAGAAAAATTTGATGCTTTTTGATGTATGTATATTTTTTGACTTATATGGGAAGTCATGACCACAATGAAGATAAGAAAATGATGCCTTCACCTCTAAAATTTCCCTCACACCTGCTTAAATGCTCTCCTCCTGTATCAGGCACATCTATTTGCTTGCTGCCACTGCAAATACGTTATATTTTATGGAGTGTGGAATCACATGAGAGCCACTTCTTTTTGCCTTGCATCTTTTACTCAGTAAAATTTGGAAATTCATCCATGTTGTTGAGTGTGTCGCTAGGCAATTCATGTTTACCACTGACCAGGGTTCTGTCGTATGGAGACACCATTATGTGTTGATCGACATTTAGGTAGTTTCCCTCTGTGGACTAATCAAAGTAAAGCAGTAGTGAATAAACATAAACTTCATCAGACACCTACATCCTTATTGCTGCCATGTTAATGACGTAAGGATTGGAATGGAGTCTTTATTTTTGGTTTTGCTATAGATAGGCAATGATTCCTACATCATTTTTGAAGACACTGTTCTCCACTGAACCTGGCTTTGCTCATTTGTTGGACATTACTTGTCTGCCTTTGTGTGAGTCTATTCCTGGGCTCTATTCTGTTCCATTGATCTGTTTAGCTTCACTACACCTTCTTTGTTCCTGTACCTTTTTTCATGAGCTCTGAAATCAGGTAATGTGAGAAAATGCTTCTCACAGCTTCCCATAGAATTGGAATCTCAGCCTACCTCCCATGGTACAGATGCATGAGGGTGAGTGGAGACAGAGAGGCATTCTGCTGCAGTGGAAGGACCATCCACAGGCGTGGGAGCAGCCTAGGATGCCTGTGCTGACTGATTTTGCCCTTGGCTAGCATTGAATGACCACCTCCAGACTCCGACTGTCCGTGTCTGGAGACGGGTGTCCTTTCTAATTACCGTTCAGTTTTCTAGCTGCAGTGGCTTCTCGGGCTGCCTTCCTGAGATCGGCCCAAATCATTCTGATGGTCTTGGGTGTCCTCAAATAGCTGGCCACAGGTTTCTAGATTATGCTCGGGTTTCCTTTGCTTAGGAATAACAACCACTCATTTTGCAAATTCTCCTTAATTTTGCATTCTGAAAGCTCCAGTGTGGCCCACATGCCACTCTCAAATCCGAGTATGATATGACATTAGAATTTCTCACCAGGTCTTGAGGACCAGGAACGTGAATTTTAGAGGAGTTTCTTTAATAAACTTTTAGAAAGGTTGTTTCCTGGGAGACAGCGGATCTCAGTCCTCATTCAGAAGTACAGCGGTGAAGGTCGAAACATCATTCATTCCTCGCCAGTCACTTTTGGGCACTATGTGTCATGCTGTGCCAAGCTCAGGAAGCTTCTGTCTGATTTATTCTAAACCTGTAGAAATCAAGGCCACTTAAAGATCTACCTAAGGGTCACGATCCAGGCTTTAGAGCCCAGATCTGCAGTTTCAGCTCAAATAAGAGTGCTACCGTCCCTGGGAGGAACAGGAGGCTCCTTCTGAGTTAACCACGCAGAATTCAAGAACAGCGGGGCTCGGCTGACAAAGACAAAGCCTCAGAAGGGATGAAGCATCCAGACAGGAGCAGACGCAAGGAGGGAGAGGACCAAGCCCTTCAGAGGGGTCAGCCAGGGTCAGCGAACATTTATAAGAGAAGAATGGAAAGTGAAAGGGGAGTAAGTGGGTAAGGAATTGTCTTACTTTTTGACTGAGGAGATGAAGGTGTAGGAGGGAGAGGATAAAAGTGAATTTGAGCCTCCAGGGTAGAAGTTCAGCTGGTATCACTTTTCCTACCAGCAGAGGTCACAGAGGCAGGGCAAATCAAGACTTGTCCCAGAGAAAGGAAATGAGTAGACTGGAGGAGCCGTCTAACCTGATGCAGGCAGACTTCACACTCATTATTGATAGGCACTCCTGAGGGTACAGGGACGGGGTCCTCTGCCAACGGGAGCAAAGCTGCTGCCTGTCCAAACTGCACAGTGTATGACCAGAGAGCAAGAGGGGCAGCCTCTGGTCCTAGGCCGCAGAAGGGGAGCTCTAGTGGAGCCTTCTCTAGGGCGGCCCAGGTCCTTCCTTCCTGGGCTTTGGCTGGAGGTGCAGGAGGGTTAGGAGTTGGCAGCGGCTTCCATGAATATGGAGTTTGGGGGTTGAACTGCAGCTAGAACAAAACAGCCAAGAGGGGAGCCAGAGGTAAACAAAGGCTGCAGAGAGGCAGGCGAGTGTAGACAGGCCTCCGCAGGGGCCCAGAACCTGCAGCCAAGGAGACTCAGTTGCAAGGGCACAGAGACCACTGCCCAAAATATTCTTTCCCACCCTTCAACTATAGCGCGGCACTCTTTGAAATTGGTGTAGACTCTGCTCTGTCGTCAGAACTAGGGCACCAACTCAGGGTTCCTGGGAGAGTCAGGTCATGGTGAGGGCGAACTCTAGGTGTTCTCTCAAGGGTATTGGTGGAGGAAGGCGCCATCACGAGAGCCCGATGGAAGGGCAAAGGACTCAGGAAAAGAAGAAGGGCCTGGAAAGCAGACTCCACTGTTCTCGGTCACCAGTCCAAGGTCCCCAGGAGCCAGGACTGCTGGACTGGGCAAAACAACCCTGGGAACCCAGGATGCCCAGTGAGATTTATGTGAAACTCAAATTCCACTGAGTGTCCTGTGTTTCATCGGGCAGCCACAGCCAGCGGGGATTCTGCCTCATTCTCCCGCACCTACCCCTCCACTGGCCTCACAGATCTCCGGGGCCCCACTTGTGTACATGAGGACAACGGGGGATGCAGGTGTGATGGAGGCAAGCAACCACAGCAAGCAGCGGGAAGCACCCAGCTGAGGATGAGGGGTGTGAACCCATAAGGACGTCAGGTCTCTCTGCAGCCTGCCTGTCCTGCGCAGTACCTAGAACAGGGAGCGTGGGGCTTCATTCAGGTGCATTGACGTTGTACAAAAGTGGTAATGATATTAAGGACAACAGCAAACATGTGCATAGGGTTTAGCCTACCTGGGGTTTCTCCTAAGTAATTTCTGAAAAGGTGAGCTGATGTGTACGAAGTGGTGGAGGGACCTGCAAAGGGACTTAGAAAATCACAGGAGAATTCCTCACACATTGTTGTGTGATAACTGAATTCCTTTAATGCAGTGCTTCTTCTTGGGAGGGGCTGTCTGGTCTTTAACCTGGGTTTCTATCCCATTGTTGAGCTCTTCCTTCTGAAATACAGTGCAGACAAAGCCGGCTATTTTAGCAAGACTTTTCTACATGACTTCTGTGGCTCTTCTGTCTCCAGCAATGCAGTCCTGCATCCCACACCACACTCACCCAACCTGCCGCTACCTCCAGAGCACAAATGCCTCGTCCATAACAACACAAGGCAATGCAGCGCTAAAAGAGTACCTTGTTTTTGAAATGATTTTCTAGTGCTTTCCTAGATATAGATGATGTGAGACTACATAGGCATTAGGGTCATCTAGGTTTCTCTTTGCCTCCACTCCCTCAGAGAAGCCTCCAAACCTGTTTTGCATCCTTATGAAAACAAAGATGGGGCAAGGGATTGGATGGTAAACCACAGTGGTCTCTAGCCCGGTACGAACTGGCTTCTATTTGCCAGATAGAACATTTGGAACCCCTAGCTCTATTGCACCTATTGTATTAGGGCCAGACGAACCCCAGAACAATTGTAAGAATGGAAAAAGTGGATTTTCAGTGAGCACCACTACTCCTTGGAACAATTTGTTTTTTAGGCAGAACCTTCCATTTTTCTGCCTTGGGCTCCTCACCCCATCACCTCCACCCCACCCCCAGTGCTCAATCTCTGGTCACACATGGTTCCTATTCATTTTCATTTAATTCATCAAGATATTATTTAGCTATATCCACTTTCTGTCCAAGAAATTTTTTATGAGCTGACAGTGTAATCCTGCTTTAAGCCTATTGTTATAACTGGGGAGGTTTTTTTCTTTGGACTGCAAAGCTGCCTTCCAGTTCTAAGCCAACCCTAAACCAAAGCAGGCTCAAAGAGCTGCCTTTGTCATTTATTTGTGGGATGTTTCTCTAGTTCTGGAACCTAGTCAGCTCTAGCACATTCCCTAGTTGGTGAAATTATTCTCTGGGTTGAATTGTTGGGAGTGGGTGGGTCGGGTGTAACTAGGGATAGATCCCAGGGGCTTCCCACTGAGCTACACCCTTTTTAATATTTATTTTGAGACAAGGTCTCACCAAGACGCAAAATCGCCGGAGCTACTCTTGAACTTGTAACCCTCTTGCCTCAGCCTCCTAGAATGCAGGATTATAAGTGTTGGACAGCACTCTGGGCTCTGGGTTGCTCTTGAAGACATTGTTCTGACCCAGTCCCCAAGTCTAGAGTGTGAATCCACAATCTCTCCCCAGAAATATCACCAACTGTCTGTTGTTTCCTTTTTATTTCTGCTGCTTCTGCCCTCGGTCAGGCCAGTGTCATTTCCCACTCACACGATTCAGCGATTTCTGGGTATCCAGATCTCCTTGCTGCCTGGGACATGCCCCACACAGTGCTGCTCTCCTGCTCTTGGCCCACAGTGGTGCCTCTTGAGCAGGCAGGCACGTGGGCTCAAGAGATCCACTGTCAAGAACTAGGGACTAAGCAATCATGAGACAAACACGTAACATCTTCCCAAGAGAATCAAGAAGACAAAAAACTGGAGGAAAGTGCTGTGATTTTATGTTCTAAAACCCTACAAAAACATGGTAAGAACACAAAGTTGTCATACACGCTAAGAATAAAACATGAAGCTGCAGGGAAATCCCAAGTTTGTAGTGCATACTAGGGACTAACTCTTTGGGTTCCAAAATTATGTATTTATTGTTTTCCTCCATCGGTGCATTCCTGTGGGTCAGTCTGGAGAAGGTCAGCTTCTCTGTCAAGTTTGATCACCACCCCCCACAAGAGCCTATCCAAGCTCTCACCTGGTCCTCACCGCATGCACCTTACTCCCAGACAGAACTATCATTTCCCAGTCCTTCTTACCCTCCATGTCTGTACTTTCCAGCCAGGATGCCTTTAAGTGTCTGTGCCCCTGCCTCGCCCAAATCCAGGCCTCCTAATGCCAGTTCAATGTTTCTTTCACGTATAAACCTACTCTCGTATGCTTCACACCCTTGTCATTGCGCTGGAATCTCAAACACTATTGATTCGACAGTTATTGGTGGGATACAATTACTGAGCTCTTGAGATTTGCAGAAATGAAAAGAACATTATCCTGTTCTTAGTAAACAGGGGGCAGGGATAAGATAGGGCTAAGCAGAGAATCTAAAGAACTTTTCTGTTACTTACTTTTTCTTTAACTCTGACCTTGTTTCTAGAATTAGGACTCAAGAATTGGCATGAAGGTGTGAATTCATAGTTTTTCTGGATGGTTCTTCTGATGCAAAAATGAGGAAGAAAGATAAATAAAGTGAGTAAAATACTGTGAATATATTGCTTCCTCTCTACATTCTACACACATACTAATTTTTTGTTTAAGAGTAACAACATAAAAATCTGGAATTCATGATTTTCTTGAAAAATCCAGACTGGCCAGACATTCTGAGCTGATCTCCCCAGCTGCCTTGGCTGCCATCTTGAGAAGGCACATGGTGGGAATTTTACCACTGTTCTGGACACTTCTTGTGGCACAGACACAGAGTGCTCCTGTGAGCACTGCAGCTTGCTGTCCTTCTGCAGGGGACATCCCAGCTGGAGGCCCTAGGTAAATGCTCTCCAGAGCTGCCAGGAGAATGGACAATGAGTGGAGACAGGGAAGAGCCCAGGGGAAACCTCACTGAAGGAGGTGTGTTGGGAGAGCCCTTCCCAAGCTAAACCACTCAAACTATTTATCCCAGAATTTCACCCCTCAAAAAGCATCACATTCGTGCCCGGTGTGGTCTTCAGATTCTGAGGCCCAGCTTGGAGCTTACAAGGCCCTAGTCTCCCTGTCTTATTGCCAGCATCCAGACAGTGTCCCCTGGAAGTGCCTGTTTCGTCTCCCTGTTGTGATTTGCTCAGAGTCACACGAGAACTCTTTTGGCCTCTGAGCTGCCTGGATGCTTTGATATTTTGTGCACTTCATTTCAAGAACTATCAGAAAAGGGCATCCAGGATCAAGTCTCTTTCTCTTTGCAGAACAGTCAGTAATGCCAACGAGGGAACAAAGCCAGGCAGCTCCCTTCCTTGGGCTCTGGAATGGGGGTTTGCCTGGGCTCCCTGATCCACCCACATCTCCAGTGAGGCCTCTAGGAAGGGAACTGCTTCACCCCCAGGCTTTGTGTTTCACTTGTAACAATGCGGAGACAGGCAGTTATTGATAGGGATCCCCCAAGGAGCTTTCTGACTATTAGGCCAGACGCAGGACATTCATGGACAGGCCATTCCCAGGGCATTGGGTTTCAGGACCGGGACATGAGTGAGGGGTGTCCGGAGAGGCAGGGCCCTCTTCTGGCTGTGCCACCTTATAGCTAAGTGGCTGGAATCTCAGGAGTGTGTGTCAGTGGGTGGGTGGGTGAGGAAGGAGCAGAGGCAGAATTGCTAACAACTGACATTGTGTTTGGATCTCAGTCCTTAGTGAAATCACAGAGAAAGCCTCCATTGCTCCTTCAAGGATGAAGAAGAATTCCACCCATTATACTCTTCCTCATTTCCTCTCCCCCGTGCAAAGCACCTAACATTTCGGAACAGGGACATGCTCTTTGGTCTACCTACTCTCCTTATTTACATATAGCACAAAGGTCATGCGAAGAGGATGACCTTGCTCAAGGTCACACACTAGAAAGTGACAGGACAAGGTTGGACACTGGGTCCTTCCAACTCCCTCCTCCACCCTACAGTCCTGGGGGTTCACATATTTCGATCATACACATGCACCTTCCACTATTCTGGGCACATCCACAAACACCTGTGCTATTACTTAATACTTTTTCTTTAGCCAGGTCCTTTCTTGCTTAAGTGGAGGAAATTGTGTTGCTAATGCCAATGGAAAAGGAGCAGTGTGTGCCTTCAACACTGGAGACCAAGAGGCAAAGGTAAGTAACAGAAAATGAAGCTATGAAGCTTGAGGGTTATTGTGCTCTGCTGAGAGCTCTCTTTCCAAAATTTGTTCTCTGGGGTTAAAATAGGAGCTTGGAGTCTGAGCAGCATGGGAAGATGCTAGTGCACTCAGAGGCATTTCCCTGGAAAAGGCAGAAGAGTTGAAATGGGAGCAGCCCCCTCACATGCAGGCAATGCATCTCCAGGCACAGCATGGTTGCATCCCAGCTCCTGTGGTGTCTTCTCCTCACTGAGAAATTGCTACCCTGGGTCATGCTCTCTCCAGAGGTTTGTGGACCCCAGGCCTTGCCCTCTATCTTTTCAGGGGTCAGGCTCTGTGGTTTCTATCATGGACACAATACTCCCTGTACACATCAAAAAGGAAGAGCTGTGGTCCCTGTGGAGGAGCACATTTTGATGTTGGCTTTCTGCCTGTTGGTGGGGTTTCTTGCAGTATATCCTGGAGAGGGAGGCAGTGTAGAGAATTCTGGTATCTGAGACAGAGCAGTGAATTTAGTGCTTGAGATCTGCCCCTATTCCTTGTGGCACCTGTGCCGAGTGTGACACACATCAGTGATGACAGAAGTAAACAGGACTCGTCCTCTGGGAGAAAGTTAAACAGATGTTCTAGTGTGAGTTGGAACTCAGCTTCGAAGGACGTCAAGGCTGTTGCAAGCATAGACAAGGTGGTCCCTTCTTGCCACCTCTCTCTTCTCAGTATCACCACTGCAAGGACTGACCCATTGGCCAGTGGCTCTTAGTCACTTGCCACTGTGCTGGTGGTGGGGGCATGAACAAGACATCAGAGTGCATCACACCTGTACCTGAAGCTGAGACTAGGCTCATCCCCATGAAAGGGTGACAAGGACGTACATGACACATTCGTGGGAGTCCTGTGGATATTCTGGAAGCTTATGAGTGTGCACAAGAGCTTGCAGTGGCAGGGGAAGCTTCGTGGAAGAGTGGGACCTGCCCTGCACTTCCTTCTCCCTGCTTTCCTCTGGTCCTCCTCCTCCTCATCCCGCCCTCTTCCAGAACTGTAAAATTCACAGTGGCAGAGAACTGGCAGCCTTGCTGTCACCCCTGGATGTGGGCTGCACAAGCTCCCTGGAGGCCTGCAGAGGTGGGGGCCAGCCAGGTGGACAGTGCCCACACTGCTGCCCATGAGGCCCTTGGACAGATTCTCCCCCTGCCACCTTCTCCTTGTGGCCCAACCAGCTGTTCCCGAGGACTGGTAGGAAAGGGAGGGCTCCTCTCCAGGGGTCGGGACTTTGTAGGATGGCCTCAGGCAGAGCCTGCTGGCCAGACCCCATCTCTGCCTAGATAAAGCCCAGAGGCAGGAGACAGCAGGACCCTACAGCAGCTTTCCTTGCTCTGTGACTTTCTCTTGCTCTCCGTGGATGGCTTGGAGGGTAAAGTAAAGAAAGCACAAGGACTTTGGGCTTGGGACACCCAAGCTACAGAGCTCAAAGCAGGTGATCTACAAAAAGGCCAAGAGGTGCTAGAACTACAAAAAAGCTCTGGGTCCAGGGAGGGAGTTCTGTAAGTGGAGACCTCAGAGCTGGGTCATTTTCTACAGGCACTGGGAGGACAGGATAGACTGAGTTTGGCAAGGTAAGACTGAAAACACCTGCAACTGTCTCTACCCTCCCAGGATGTTCTCAGTTGTCCCATGAGCCACAGTGTCTTCTCCCTGCAAATTGAGTAGGGAGAGGAAGGACCTGGCCTAATGTGACAGAGAACATAAGTGTTAAAACCAAAGGTGAGCCAGGAATTCCTGTTCTAAATCCCATTTGCCTTGGGAAGTCGGGGCCAGGTGGGATGGTGGGGAATTTGGCCAGACTGAAATAAAGGTTAAATACTCCAGGGTGGCCTTTGGCCTGGGCAAGGATGGCCTCCCCAGGCTGGCGTGGGGGTGCTGGGCCTGGGTTCTGCAGGGACACCCACATGTGGTGACCACTGCCATCCACCTGCTGTGTCAACCAGCACAATGCTTGTGTAATAGAAAGGTGACCGAGGATGCATCCTAGCCCTGGGAAGCAGAGGCTTGCATGATTTCAGAAAAGAATGCAAAAGCTGAACAAAATTCAGGATAAAAGCATGTTTCCTATATTAAGTGAAAAAAAATCACAAATTGTTCACTTTGAAAGGCAGACATATACAAAACAAACTTTCCCAAATCCAGGTGGATGCCACATTGCTGTTAATTAACTCCTTGGACTCTTTCTCCTCTGCAATGACCCCTCATGTGAAAATAACAGATTTGTACAACGATTTTTCATGGAGAGGACAGAAAAGTAGTTCTTTCTTTTTTTCAAGCCTGGTCCATGATTGATTTTTTTTGTTTGTTTGTTTTTTGGTAGCAGATACTGAGCCCACACTTAGCTCCACCCCAGCCCTTTTTACTTTTGAGTTTGAGGCAGGGTGTCACTAGGTTGCTAAGTTGCCCAGGCTGGGCTCACACTTGCAATTCTCCTGCTTCAGCCTCTCAGAGGGCTGGAGTTAGAGAGGTGCACCACCTTATATTGTGAGACTTGGGATTTAGCTGCAGTGATTAAGATGTGACCATCTTAACATGTGACCCCACACAGGCAAGGACTCTGTAGTGCTTCTACATTTGTACCTCACAGTGCAAGGAATTCCTACCAGTTTTGTGTTTGCCCGAATCCCATCCAAAAGAGAAAGCTGTGGTGTGTTCCTGGGTGCTGATTTCTATTTTGATACCAGACTCCCTGCCTTACGAAGCCACACATCCAAGCATCAGAGTAACCTTCTGCACACATCTGCTTTTGGCTTTTTTGGTTCCAACTTCTGGTTCTAACTCTCTCACCACCCGCATTCTTGAGAGGAAGAGCCAGAGGATGTGTGTGTACTGTACCGGAATTCTCTCCCAGCCTAGCTACCTCTGTGTGGTCACTCAGAGATAGGAGATTTTTTCCTGGAAGTTAGGAGCCCCAGTGGACCCCAGGGATGCTCACCTGTGCAGCCTGTGCATGGGCAGGGGCAGCCATGGAAACCATTCGATGAATTGCAGTGAACAATGATATCTTACTGCATGGAAGTCTCAGGAGTTTACCAACGTGTAGGAGCACAAATGGGTCCTTTCCCAGGGCTTGGGGTTCTTGGGAAGGCCCCGCATGAGAAAATGTGTGCCACACTCACTCTGTTGGTGACAATTCGCAGCTCTTGTGCCACAGCCCACCCACCTGACAGGCTCCTTTGGCAAAGGTCTGCACCTCCTCACGTCCGGCTCTGGTGGTCATTGACTGGAGGTTACTGAGAAAACAGTGGGTGATGACAAAGACCAATTCACTGCAGAAATAGAACATTGCTGGGGCCAAAAACACTGGCTTTGACAGAACAGATTTTACAGATTTGAGTACACCCTGAGTACCCAGCAGCAGAGAACGGGTGACTCTGGTGTGTCCTGGTACTGAGTCCAGATATAGGAATGTTGTTGTTGGCTCAAAAAGATATTTGTGTGTTGAATGAATAAAAATTTTGTGGTAAGGCATAATCTCATTTTAAACTTAAAATAAGCGTGCACCTGCTGGTCTGGGCATCTACAGCTGTGTCTGCACCTTCAAGTGAGAAGCTGATCAGGGAAACACACCTGGAGGGTTCGTTGTTACAGGAGCATCTCCCCTGGGAAGAGGGTGAAACCCTTCCCATCATTTTCCTGGTGTCTGATGGCCTTGGTGCTATTTGTGGTAAGCACGCAACATATAGAGGTTTTCAAGAATGGACAGTTGTGACAGAAAGAAACTCAAATAGCTTCTTTCTTCCTCTACTGGGCCAGCTGCAGTGTGGAAAGGAACGCGGCCAGCGATGGTTAGAAGACGAGTGTGTCTGTGTGGAGAGACAGAGGGCCATACAGGGAGACAGTGTATTCACACATATGTATGTGGGCGTGTAGACCGAGTGTGTGTGTGTGTGTGTGTGTGTGTGTGTGTGGACTGCGTTCATGTCTGTGGCTTGTAGGTGACTGTGGGGTGGGTGAGTGTGGTGTGTGTGTAGAGTATATGTGAGTGTGGGTGGTGTGAAATGTGAGTGTGTATGCGTGCAGTGTGCAGTGTGGAGTGTGGTTGAGTGTG